AATAGCTTCTGAAATTTGGTAATTCTTTTTCCTCGGATAGAGCTTAATATCACACAAATCAAATATGTTAGAGCTGGTAAGCAAATCAATCATTATTTAGTTTCATTTCCTTTTGTATCAAAGAAATTGTGATCCTGAGAAACAAAATGACTAGGAAATTTTTTATCTTCATAATAACAGAAATTATAGAATTAAATTGTGAAATAAGTTAAACAAACGCTATTGTCCCGCTGTGATAAAGTTCAAGCATTCTGGGTTTTCTACATAAGCTTTTAAATAATTCAGTAGGATAGTTGGTTTTATTTTGTTTTGTGTCTTTTGTATGTAACAAAGAATACCTAACCAGTGTGATCTTAAAAAAGAATTGAACCCTTGATAACAGTGAAAAATAATGAAACTTTTAAATCCTGCAGAATGTGAAAGACCACTCAGGGATTATAACGAATGCATCTTATTCTTATGACTTGCTGACTCCACCAACAGCTGCCTTAGGGGTGCAGTTCTAATCAATGGCTTTATCCACTTGGCATTCTATACCTCCGAAGCACGCATTGGAGAACACCATCAAGGTGTCAGGGGGCCTATAAATCAGAATGCCAGGTGGGCATAGCTCCATTTTCGTAAGTCATACTTGGAGATTAGTGGATGAAACATTCCTCAGATGCAAAGTTGTGGTCTCTCTAGCCCTTTAGGATGCCACCACCTCCCTAGGGAACGGGGCATCCTTGGTTATTGTCTCTGAACAACAGGAATGATAAATTAGTGACAGAAAAACAAGCTCCTGGCTTTCCTTCTTTACTCAGGCTTTTAAATGACATGCCACAGATTTAGATTTCCTTTCTAATGCTAGTCATGAAGCTTTTTTTTTTTCCTTTAAAAGGAACAGATCTATAAATGCCCAGAAAAGATCTGCCTCTGAGAGGGAAACATTGGCACCTTGGCAGTTGTCTGCCTGCTGGTATTTCCATGCACACCTGGGACGATGACTGCTCAGGAATCCGTACATTGCAACCAAGCTGAAGTGCAAGGAAAAGGCTACTTCTCAAGAGTTCTTTCCATTCCTGTTCTCTTTTATGCGACAAGCACATATATTTGTGATGTGTTAATTAATTCTACCCTTCTCTGAAGAATTCCTAAGGGTCTCTGTGAAAGGTCAGGCAGAGAGCACCTGCATCAGTGGTAGTGGAGGACCTTTTTGCAAACAAAAGGCAAATAAGCAGCTACTCCTAGGAGCCTCTGCTGAGTAGAATTGCCCAAGGAAGGAAAGAAAGCCATTAGAGATTGTTTGTGCCTGTTTATGAACCCTAGGTAGACAATTGGGGAACCAGCAAACTTAAGCAGGGACAAGGTTGAGAATGTATACTTGATCCTTCCCCTTGAATTAGCCATCACGCTTGCCATCTGTAAGAAGCAGCAAATAAAAAGCATTGCAACAGGGACTAAAAATGACAGTGCCACCTCATTTGTTGGCATGAGAAATACCAAGTATTTATAATAAGGGTGAGAGAGAGAGAGAGAGAGCAGAGTTCAAGGACAGGCTTGCAGATGAGACTGGGTACCCCATGGGAGAGGGCAGTTACAAAACATTAATTATCAGAATCACATTGCATTTCTACCATTATGTTTATGACTTTGTAATCAAAGATGACACTTGACTTGTTTTCTAAGGAATAGTGATCATAGCATCATTGTTTTCTTTCCTCCTAAGCCACCACGATCAAAGGGACAGACTTACTTGTGCTTGGACAGTCATCAATTCCTACATGGCGAGAAAAGGTTTGCCATCAGAGTGGCCCTAAGAAGCCACAAAACAGACACTGTCCAGTGGACAGAGCATGAAATATTGCTTGACTAATTAAAATGACGACAGAAGCATAGCAGTTAGCCAGAAACACATATCTCACTTGTTTCCAGTTGCAAACAGACACAGCCAGCTCATTCTGGATTATCTCCGTCCCGGCTGGGTTTATTTTCATAGTTGGCATTAAAGAGTGCTCACATAAATGTCTCTGGCATTTTAACAAAAGGGTTCAATTGGGTTTCCCATTTTCCCTCAACACTCCCCTCCCCAGCACTCGCAGTGTGCATCTACTACAGATCATTTCCGATTCACCTTCTAATACACTTTCTGCAATCCTATCCTCAAAGGATACGTGAGAAGAGAGACAAAAGAGTGTCAGAAGCAACCGTAGCTGTGCCTTTGTAATAACAAACTTTACACTGAAGCTTAGTTCTTTTAGGGGTAACATGCTTAGCTTTTGTTGGAGTGGAAGAAAGAGAACTTACTACCTTTTAATTATCCTGAGAGATTAGACTAAATGCACCTCTTCCTTGGTAACCAGGGCTTGGTTTTACAGTCTCTTGATTGAATGTCTGCTTTCCCCACTTCAGATTTTTAATAGCATTTCACAAAAACTTTGGGTTTCTTCCTTTTCACCTAGCAAGTCCTGTCAAACCTTCCCAATCCTCCTGCCAAGGCCCCAACATTATTTTGCTTTGGACTAAGCCGCAGAGGCCTGGCTGTTTCTGCAAGGCTACCATTTTCAGTGGTGCTCAACTCCTGGGAATTAAGTCCTTCCTCAGAAGCAGACACCCCCATCCTCCTTAAGCCTTGTGGTCTCGTGATTTTCCAGGAGCAATTGCTGTCAGCCCACTTCCAGACACAGCCAAGCTCATTCCCCTGGGGTCCTCACGCATGCCGGAAGAAGGGGCTGTCTCAGCTCTAGCCACTGCCGCAGAGGCTGTCTGAAATCTGCCTCACCTGGTCTGTACTCATTTGTGCAGGAGCTTACTGAGTGCTAGGAGCTGGGAGCTGGTGGTAAACAGAAGACCCACCCTCATGGGGAGTTCATTCCAGTGCCACAGAAGCAGCCTCAACTTGAAACATGAGAAAGCTGCCCCGTGCAAGAATCCTCATCATAAATGACTTGTAGCAATCCTATGGGCCTTCCAGTGTGGTGCTCAGTCTTTCAGATCCAACACCAGAAATTTTCTGTCACATTCAAAATCAGAGGATGTGGAGAGAGATTTGGGAACAGGAAATGTGCTATCTTCATTCTAACAAGGATTGCATTTAGCCAGACTTTCTGCTTTTTACCTCTCCCCAAGTTTTATTCCTTATTTCTAACCTAGTAAAGGAGACAAAGGGCTGTGCCCTTTCAAAAAAATGCCATACTTGACGCCATTTAGTGGTTAATAAAGAGGATAAAATTGAGTCTTCATAACAAGAAGTTAAAAATTTAGTCAGATTTGGGCCCAGCACAGTAGCCTAGCAGCTAAAGTCCTTGCCTAGCATGTGCTGGGATCCCATAAGGGCACTGGTTCTAATCCCAGCAGGCCCACTTCCTATCCAGCACCCTGCTTGTGGCCTGGGAAAGCAGTCAAGGATGGCCAAAAGCCTTGGGACCCTGCACCTATGTGAGATACCTAGAAGAAACCCCAGGCTCCTGGCTTTGGATCAGCTCAGCTTTGGCTACTGCAGCCACTTGGGGAGCGAATCAAGGGATGGAAGATCTTCCTCTCTCTATATATATATTCCTTTCCAATAAAAATGAATCATTCTTTTAAAAAAAAACTGTAGTCACATTCTTAGAGTATATCTTCTATTACAATTGATTTTATTGACTTTTTCATTCATTCAAAATTGTAAAAAGCAAACAAATAAACAAAAACAAGGAGGGATATCCTTACCATGAGTATAACCTTGACACGAATCTTAGAACCCAGGCTTTTAAATCCACCTAGCTCGTTTTTAAGCTTGCTGGGCAGCCCAAGAAATAAGCAACCTCACAGCTAGTATCAGCAAAGCAGTGGGGCGCTCCGGAGCCTTGGCCCCTCTGGGACACTGTCAGAGCCCTGGTGGCCTTGGGCATCCAGCTGGAAGGGGTCTAATCTAGGTCCAATCCTCTTGTCCGTATATGGAAGAACCTGAAGCCCAAAGAGATTAAGTTATTTGCAGAGATCTGCACAGCCATTTAGTAGCACATCAGAAAGTACAAGTCGGGCCTCCTGCCATGTATTCACTCCTCGGACATTTTCTTCACCAAGAATGTGAAGGCAGCTTGTTGACTGGCTCGCAATGTCCAGTGTTCAAAGACAAGCACAAAATTAAGTGTTCTTTATCTCGATTCCGATCTCTCAGGTTCTGTTCCCTGGGACGGTGTCAGAGGCTGTCTCTACCTGTGTTCCCACAATCTAGGGGAGCAGATGTGCTGGCAAAAGGGTTGCAGGGGAGGGGACAGGAGAAGCAGCCTCCTGAAATCCTCCCATCACTCTTAGCTGGACGTTGGAGCCGAAATATTTTTGCCTGAACAAGCTCTATTTAACAATAGAGGCTTGATAAGCTACTCTAAATATGACCCAGTATCTCGCTGGCCAGTATTCACTCCCGCAAAAGATATTCTAGCCCACAAACTTCCCGAGTGAGTACCCAGGAAGATTAGCACTGCTTCTCTTATTTTAAAATATCTTCTGGAAAAATAATGAAAGAGGCCAAGGTGAATCCTATCTTTGCTTCTGAGATCCGATGCGGGAGGGAACCTGCTCAAGGCTATGCGTGGGATCCACCCTGAAGGACTTTTCAGGCCCTTCTTCCATCCTCATCTCTTATCTTCCTGTGTGGCCTTCAGACTCTTGCACAGTAGAATTTTGGCAGGAGTGGAGCCCTCTGACCTCAAAGGAGGGGAGGAGAGAGAGGACCTCTGGATCGAGAGTCTGGTGACTTCCTTTAGCTCCTTTATCTAGGCAGCTTCCTGACCTGAGTCACAGCCCACTTCCCCCCTGCCTGTCACTGATACAGCTTTGGCCAGCTACCCTCATGATATTAGCAGTGGTTAGCCCTTAGCCTTATCCAGCCCAAAGGGGATGGCTTAGACAATTTAGAATTAACTCTTCCTCTTCGCCAACACTGTAGCCGCAAATGTTCCCTTTCTAGAATTACAGCAGTTCAGGACTAGCGAAATATGTTATTAACATGAAACCTATGTCATCCTTCTCTTCAGGAAGAAAATGAGATCCCTGCCAGCGTGTTTGTGAAAGAGCCAGCTGCTGGGCCAGCAGAAGCGAAAGAAGAGGTCGCAGATGAAAACAAGTCCCTGGAGGAAACACTGCACACGGTGGACCTCTCATCGGATGATGAATTGCCCCACGATGAGGAGGCCCTGGAAGAGAGTGCAGAGGAAAAGATGGAAGAAAGTAGGGCAGAGAAAATAAAACGATCCAGCCTCCGGAAAGTAGACAGTCTCAAAAAAGCATTTTCTCGCCAGAACATCGAGAAAAAAATGAACAAGCTGGGGACAAAGATCGTATCTGTAGAGCGAAGAGAGAAGATTAAGAAATCCCTCACTTCAAACCACCAGAAAATATCCTCTGGGAAAAGCTCCCCCTTCAGGGTCTCTCCCCTCACCTTTGGCCGAAAGAAAGTCCGAGATGGAGAGAGCCCTGCAGAAAATGAGACTAAGTCAGAAGACATGCCTGGCCCTGACCAGATGCCCAATGACCAAGAGGAAAGCTCATTTGCAGAGGTTCTGTCTGAGGCATCCCTCCCTAGCACCCTGCAGGAAGGGAGCAACCCTGAAGGAGATGCTGAGAAGGTGGCTCTAGGAGGGAGCAATTCAGGAATGGACAGCAACATGGACTTGACCATTATGGAAGATGATGAAGAGGAGTCCGTGACCCTGGACCAGGCACAGAAGATGCGTTATGAGGGTGGCTACTTGAGAACCTCTGAGGACACAGAGCCAGCAGAAGAGAAGCCCGTGCAGCCATCTGTGCTGCAGGTGGATCAGACTGCCTAAAGGCACAGCCCAGGATGCCCAGTCTGTGCTCATCTTCATGTGGGAAGCCAGAACCCAGAAACTAACTCCTGCACACTTCCAGTGCTGCTCACTGAACACTGTGTTACTGTGCACGCTGTAATTCACCAAATAGTAGCCGCATGTAGAAGACCAGAACTTACAGCCAAAGCTAATTATCGGGACTCCACTTCTAGTTTGTGCTTAGATTGATTTCTGTACATTTTCTCCAAGATTCCAGGAAATAATGAAGCAATTGAAAGGGACTGATCCCTTTGGCTTAGTCAGAAAAAATCAGAGAATACTAAAACACTAGTGATGAAATGCAAGTCATATTTTTGTCTTTCAGTAAGCATGCTGAACAGTATACTGGTGATGTTTCAAATGTCTACATACTCTGTGAATCCAGTTTTTTATTCTTTAAATGTGTGATATATAATATGCATAAATATGGACGCGAAAGGCATACCTCTATGGCTTAATAAGAAAAACACGTTCAAAAGACTGAAGAGAATGATCAGTTGGTTATTCACTGAAGTGTTGTTTTATTACAAAGGAAAAATTGTGAATGAAGCGGTCAGCTCATGGTGGATCCTAAGCAGCTGGCAGGGGTCCAGGTGCTTGAGCCATCACCTGCCAGCTCCGAGGGTGAGCAATAGAAGGAAGCTGGAAGTGAAAGTGGAGCCAGGACGTAACCGCAGGCACTCAGATGTGGTTGTTGTGAAGTCAGGACAGTTGGAAAACTAACCAGTAAGGCAGAAAATAAGAGAAACAGGGAATGTAGACTGCCAAGGATAAAGAATACAAAGAAGCAAAACTTAAGCACTTAAATTGTAAAATATTTACAATACTAATCTTATTATTCCATTCCTTAAATAACAGTACTAAAGATAATTCACACATATCCTGAAATAATTTGTTATATATTCACAATAATTTTTTCTAATATTTTCAAATAGTGTAATAAACATACTTCAGTACTAAGAGTAATAAAAGGCATTACAAATGTTTTTATTGATGAAAGACAAATATTTCTAATTCAAGACCATATTGGATTGAATATACATTTTCAAAAATGAATTCTTATATGCTATTTGTCTTAAGACATCTGATTATACTTTCCTTTAATGGAATGCTTTCCAATTTTTAAATAACCCTTAAAGTCCAGTTGATATGTAGGTTTTAAGCATGTTCACATCTACAAGTTTAGAAAGGAAAGAATGCTATTTTTCAGTTTTGTACATAATGATAATTTCATTCCATGTCATATTTTATTTGCATATTAATCTCACATAATACTAATATGTGTTTGAACTTTTTAAGCATGCTAATGTTTTAAAGTATAAAAGCATATTTGTTTAGACTAATTTTTACTGCTGCCTAATATTATACTAAAAAAAAATTCCACGTATCTTCTCAGTTACAAAATTTTAATGTTTTGCTAAGTTATAAGTTAAAGACAGTTGACCCACATAGCCAATTCCCTCCCTACCTTTGTTGTGTTCAACTATAAGTAACCTTAAAAATGAAGGTAATCCTACACAATGTTAGCAAATTGTTTCGTCTTTAATAAAAGGGAAAGAGTTAGCAAGTGTATTCATGACATAACTTATTCAGCTATGTCTTTATTCTTGAAATAATGTATCCCCAAATATTGGCTTGTTGAACTAACAATAGCTGTATTCAAGTTTAAATAAACCAAAGAATAATAAAAATATATAATCACGTCAGGTTTTTGGCAGAACAATTTTAGAACAAGCAAAACAAATTGATTTTTAAACTCCCCTATAAATGTAGCAATAATGTTGATTGTTTCAATCTTGATTTCCTCTATTAACTGTGCTCTCTTTTTCTTCCCCGATCTCATTTAGAACTCCAAGTCTCATTCTTCAAGTTTAACTTTCTTGACATCACCTTGCAAGCTCTGGAGAGCATCTGATTTTGTTGTAGCAACTTGATGAATTTGATAGTTCCATCTGCATTTTGATTGCATTGTACCAGACCTGGTAATGCCTTAAAGGGTCTTGCAGACTTGAATGCATTGAGTTGTACATTCCACTTATTCCTGCAGAGAAGCCTTCATCTTCTGCAGCACCACGAACTTGGTAGAAAACTTCATTTCAATCAGGGCCCAAAGCATGCCTGTTTACCCTCCGTAGGCTTGCTGTCACTTCTCACAGTTGAGGAGCTGGGAGATCCAGAGCTAACAGAACACCTGCATTTTTTCTTCAAAACTGCTTTTCCCATTTGTTGCTATAAACTAGCTGCCACGTACCACACCAGAGTATTAGAATACTAAGCAGTAAAACAGAATATTAAACAGATAATTGTTGGAAAACACATACTGTAGGGATCAGAGAGAGCAGCAGTTGTAGAAAGAGAAACTACATATACTATTTTATTGTTGAATTCTTTACATACCGTTGAGGCTGCAGAGTCCCCAAATGCAATGCGTTCTTCCTCCCACCCAATCAGTGGCCCATTGTCGGTGTGCCTAGAGCACAAGAACTGAATTAGTTCTTCCCAAAGATCAGCTATGCATTCTTGATGGCTGAGATCCATATCTTAGAAGCAGAATTTAGGAGAAGTACCTATGACATAGAGCATAAATCTCCTAGACATATCAAATATGGTCTTTTTTTCTATGAGTTTTACTTTTAAAAATGTATAGGTACATACTTCAACAATGGTATTTCCCTCTTTCTACTTAGGAATTATATATATATATATATATATATACATATATATACACATACATATACATATGTGTATATGTATATGATATATATATACATATATATCAATTGCAGGGGCTCTTTTACACATGAAAATAAAAGACCCACACTAAATTCATCTCTGCACAAAGATTTTTTTGATACTTAATTGTATGATAAGGAACATTTCTGCTCTTAACAGTGCCCATCTACAAGAGGAACATTTGAACCTCCTGCAGTATAGCCCATCAGCTGGAAATTAGAGGCTCCTTCCACAGAACCAAACTTCCAGTAAAAGTAAAGGTTATAATGAAAGTCATTTCCTACATTAAGACACTAATACCCAAACCGGGTTAATTCTTGCTCCAAAGTTTGTTTACTGCCCTGAGGCCCAAATCTAAGTGATTTTGTATTGGAGGTTGGGAGTATGAACAGTTGAGGTGCAGACAGCAGTCATTATTAACAGTTCCATAGCAACCACAAGTCTTCCTAAAAACCAAGATTCTGGCACTGCAAGACAAGTTTCAGATGAAATTGGCTTGGTGACCTTGGTGCCCTGCTTGATGTGTGTGTCCAGAGAAAGGCTTCTGCAGCCAAGAACTCATTCCCAAAGAGAACGTCACTCGCATTATCAAAAAATGCTTTCTTATCTTTATTTTGATCATTGCATTATCCTGAAGTATTTGAAATTTCAAAATTATTTTCAACTCACTACAAAAACTGCCCCAAGTAAGAAATAGCACCTTAAGCAAAAAAAGTTTGATGCTCATATATTTATGTACTTTCCACTGTGAAAATCAACCTTTTAAATATTTGTTGAGCAAAGCAACTTTTAGCTCCTCCTATCTGCGAAATTCTTTATGCTGAAATCCCAAGACACGAGCCTGAGAAAAGGGAAATAATGGTGTTGATAGCTTCCTTTATGGCAGAAGTGGCCTGCAAAGGCTGGGGGGCTACCCCAGGCTAGATGCAAGGCTTATCTCACTAAATCATACCAAATCCTGTGAGGAAGGGGCTATTGTTTGCTTGTTCATTTTTAATAGGGGAAGAACATGAGACTTCTGAAGTTCATGTACTCTGACTATTATGATAAGGCAGAAGAGGAACTCTGGAGTTCGTAACCTTCCCCTGTTATGAGTACTCATTCGTCACGCCATGATTTAAACTAGTTTTTTCCTTTAAGGGATGCAGAGTCGGATGACTTGTCCAAGTTCACATAATTAATAAGTGACAGGACCAATGTGCAATACCAATTTGAAATCCATGCTACCACCCAATTATTGTGTAACCGTGTTTAATTAGCAATTACTTTATAAGCTCCCATATGGATAGTATTAAATTCATTTCCTCACCCCCCTATGCAGTACTACATACAGCTGCACTTTATAAATGATACTGGCAATTGTCATTCCAATCCTTTTTTTAAAAAAATCCTAGTTCTTAGCTACAGAGAAACTATTATTCAGATCTGCTAAGGCCACAGAGGGGCTTCTTAGCTCCCTGGCATCATTCATTATCAGTAGCTGCGAGGTTCACTTTGGGGTAGGATTTAATAAGAGCAAGCTGTCAACAGAGATAGATACTGAAATCAGCTCATTCAAAGATAACTCGTGAAACCAGCCCCAAGCCCTTTATGTTAAAGGAGTCATATCCCCGTGTCCTACTAGAGAAATTGATCCATTCTTTCTGGATACATCTCATAGGCTGAGCAAAAGAGCAAATGGCAAATCAGCATGGAGTGGGCGTAGGCATGAAGAAGTGGAGTTTTGGAAAGTAAGGCCACACACAGAGGTATGGTGCCTTAGCATAGGAATGTTATTTCCATGAAATGATGAATCTGTCTTCCCAGAAAAAAAAAAAAAAAAAACAGGAGCTGGGTCTAACAAATGCCTGTGACTCCATCTCCATCAGGCAAGAGAACAAAAACAACCCTCTAGGACAGATTTCTTCCCATCGAGGTACATGCTTGCAGCCTGCAGCTCCCTCCAAAAATTTGAGACGGGTGACAAACTCAAATGCCTAAAGGGCTCAGACATGAGTAAAGTGGCTCAAGGAGATGGCAGTAGTTGAGGCGAAGCTGGTGCACTTGAGTGGAGTCCCCTCTGATACAGCACCCCTATAAATTTTCTGCCTAGAGGACTTCTTTTTCTAATCCCTACAATGGAAAAGGATGTTGTAGGAGCCAAGGTGGTTTGCAATACACTGGCAATTGCTACCCCAGTGCAGTTGCCCTATGCAGAAAGCAAACCCAATGTCGTCAAAAGCTAGCCTTCTTTCAAACAGAGCCAAAATTCAGATTTATTTTCACATGAAAATCTCCTGGCTTTTAATTTTGGGCAACTAATTAAAATCCTTTAAGACACCATGCAAGCCAGACTTAAATGTCTGCCAGCAGGATATGGTCCAGGGGCAGGGGAGCAATTTCTAACTGTTGGTCTGTAGAGATTCAGGCTCTCAGAGACCCCCATCCTTCCTGAAGGCACGATACCAAAAGAGAAAGCTGGTAGCTGAATGGACTCTGCCTTGAGAAATAGCAAAGAAACCTTCTTGCAGGGAAGTAAAATGCAAAAACATCCATGCCAGTACTTGCCAGAAGTTCCTTACTGTTTGCTGAATTTCTGAAAAGATTGCTATCAGTTCTGCAGTTAAAGCACTAAGGAGCTAATAGCCAATCACATTGGATGCTTATGTGTTCTCTACTGGGAGAGCACCACTCCTGGTTAATAACAGTGCTGGCCCCTGTGGGTTACCTGCAGAGCCCTGGTCCTGCATTTTTTCTTAACTAAGCATAGGACTTGATTACACCATGTTGCTGTTCCAGCTGAGAAATACCACCCATAAATAACCAAAGTAGCTCTGCATTCAGGTCTGTCATACATGATGGCAAAGTTGCCAACTGACACTACAGTTCTTCAGTTCTTCATTATCAGTAATGTGGTACAGAAGGGAGAGAACACAGCCCAATTTGTTTAGGTGCTAAATTGAACTTTTAGAGTAGAGAGCTGAGGGAGGGAGGAAACAGCCACAGATTTAGCACAGGGTCAAGATGCTCGTCAATTAGGAGAAACCTTTTATTCTTCAACCTCTTGAAGTTCTATAGAAGCACAACGATGAGTGTGTCTCAGGGACCACTACACATTAATGGTACCTGTGATGCAATGACACACCAAAGAAGGCAGTGTACTCAGGCAAATGTGCTCTTATTTCCAGCTTCAATCAATCATGTTAAAACTTTACATAATGGCAACAAAACACTCCACCTCCAGTTTGGATGAAGAAAAATACTCAGATTGTGGGGATGCCTCAAACCAGCAAAAGAGGACTGACAGACACTGGTTAAATTTCATTATAAACTTTTGCTGTTCTGTTGTTGTTGTTGGGAACATTCTTCCACCTACCTAATAGCTAGACTTTACAGAAATCAAATCAAAGCAGTTATGTTTGAATTATCCAATAAGCACAGGGAGTTTTATTGGTGAGAAACATTTTCCAAATGTAAATATTCATTGTTTATTAAATTTGAATTCCATTAATTGGGCATCTCTGTGTACCAGGCCCTGTGCTGGTTACATAGATAAAACAGGAGAACAAAAGCCATCTTTGCCATCTAGAAACTCCCTGCTTATTGCAGAGGGAACATGGTTGAGAACCTTTTATAAAAGGAATTTGAAATTCTAGTTGAATAGCAAGAGGGAGCAGATTATTCAAGGAAAAATTAATTCTCAGCCTTATATAAATTTTTATTTGCAAAACACTGTCAGGTGATTGTTACACAGAGATACTGAGGCTTGCTCTGTACATCATTCTGTTGGCCTTTTGTAGCTGCTACACAAAAACAGCCTAAGTTGGGTAGCATAGAAAACAATCATGGTTCCAGTAGACTCGGGGTATAGCAAGGACTCCAACCCCTGTCTCTTAGATGCTGCTCACACAGTAAGCCTCTCTCTCTATCTCCCTATCTATCTATCTGTATCTCTTTAAAGTTTATTTATTTCCATTTG